AGCAGGAGTAAATATATACATGTTGAGCTAGGCACAATGGCTGCTTGCAGATGTGGGAAAAAGTGACACTTTAAACTCAGTGCACTAACATGCCAAGCCTAGCACATGCCCAGAAGAGGCAGCACCTTAGTTGCACCTGGCTTTCCCAATGTCTGTAGACATGGGCATTTAGTGGGCCATTTTTGGTGCTTGTATCTAATAGCTAATTGAATCATCGTTAGTTAAAAGTGCCAAAAAGCCCATCTGAAGCACCTTATCTATATAGATACTGCAGAGCTTGGTTAAAGTAACATGCTGCTGCTTCTGATACAGCATGAATAGGTTTTCTGGAGGGTGGAGGAGGGAGTTCATGTCCGTCGGTGCCCAGTGGGCTCTCAAACTTTAAAGGATCTAGTCCGCCTTATACTTTAGCTATTTTTACCATATGTATTTACTGCAGGGAAGTTGTCACAGGAAACAATACCTGTTTTTTTAATGTAAAGCTAGAATTAAATCTTAGTTTAACATATTATATCAGTATATGCACTGCTTGATAGATTTTAAGAACTACAATACCATCTAATTTTTGTTCCAAAGTATCTCAAGCAATTAGAACAATACAAGAAAAAATCTTATTACTTCGGTTTTCTTTGTTTTTTCTACTTTTCACAAATAGACACTCATTTTAAATCCAGTAATATTTTTGTTTGTACTTAAAGTAAAAAAACTAATTCAGAGTTTAAGAGTTGGTGTTAGATTTTATTCTGGTATGAATTCCTACCCAGAAGCTATGAAAATATTACCAATAGTGATGTCAAAAGCATTGCTACAATAATGAGAACAGTTTGTTCAAAGAGAACTTTTCTTGTAGTTGGTTTTTATGCTTAGGGCATGTACCTTGTAGAACTTCAAAAGATGAGTATCAGCTTTTGGGGGTTTTTTTTTTTCTTTATATGCGTACCCACAGTTTACACTGTACATACCACCTTTTGCAGAAAAAAGTGCAACTTCTGAGGACTGGAACGAACAAAAAATGCATTTTTTAAAAGAATAAGTAATGTATAATGCCATAACAAAATATTAAATTTAAATTAACTGGCATTATATAGTGTTGTACAGCACATGCTGCTGTATATCAGTGCAACTATCTTAATTTAAACTTGCTGAACAACATTAAATACTTTTGTAAAATATGAGGTTGTTTTTGTAATTATTATTTGTTTAAAATTTGCAGATAAAGTTATTCTTTTTATCCAGTTTTCAGGTTGGCGATTTGGTTCTCATAATCTTGGATGAACGCCATGACAACTATGTGTTGTTTACTGTTAGTCCAACCTTGTATTTCTTACATTCAGAATCTCTTGCTGCTTTAGATCTCAAACCAGGTGAGTGTGGTAAGTGTCAGACCACAGTGGAGCACAACTTTCTTATATATTTAATTTTCTGCATCCATTTTTCTAACAGGCTGTTTAATAATTATTAAATGGGTGTATATTAACTGAGCACACATTGTCTGCTTACATTAAGTTTGGGTAAGTGCATATTCCAGGTACGTGCATAGTCTTTTTCATTCCTGAATCAATGCAATCAAGAGTAAAGTGTTTTATAAAGTTAATACCTTGGAGTAGATGTGGAAAGCTGTGCCATTAAAAATTTTCAGTTAGGTATTAGGCTGTAGTATAAATCTCAATGAAACTTGAAATGTAACTCTTGCTGTAGCTACCATCTACACAAGCAGTTCCCAAACTCTGACTGATTGTGCACCACCAGTTTAAAATGATATAACCTTCAGTGCCACCAGCAAATTTTTGTCATATAAAGTAATTATAATAATCTGTTAATGTGTACCACTGACAGGTGGTTTGCATACCACTGGCAGTACATGCACCACAGATTGGGAACCACTGGTCTACATTTTTTATGCTGTAAAAAATTAAAAAAAAGAAAATAAAGATTTTGTTCTTTGTATGTATGAAGGATTCTTGCACAAAAATACAGGATAAAATTTCTATCTGTCTTAATCAAGCTATTAAACATGGCATTAACTACATATTGTTAATGATTCTTTTAAATGGATGTAGGAATGCCAGGGTGCATATCAGTAAAGGTGGGGTTGTGTTCTTCTATGTGTAATCTCACTGTGGATGTGCATACACTTCAAGTGTTTAACCTCAAACTGTCTTACCGTAGCGGTAGCAGTACCAGTATAGCATGCACTTCCTGCATCTCAGTTTCTCTCATCTGACTTGGCCTGAGATAAATAACTTTTCCTCTCAACTATCTGTCTTTGCATCCAACCATAGTTTTATTTCATTTCACCTTACATACTCCTCAAGTATATTCTTATTTTTATTCTTTTTCCCTTGTTGGGTTTTCCCTTGCCATTTCAGTGCTACTCTCCCTTCTTATTTTTCCTTTCTTCCTTCTTATTTTTTCTTCTCAAATCTGCACCATATTGGCAAAGCCACCTTTTCTGTGAAAAACATATTTTTCCCCATCTTTGCATGCCATCATAACTTCCCCCAGGCCTCTAGGATTTACTCTATATTCATTTTGCAACAGTGCTTTGCCTTGGATGGTGAACTGAATTGTTTTTCAGTGAACTGAATTTTATTGCCTTGGGGAATCTCATTTTGGGAAATGCTCCCTTTGTAACTTGTATGCCTTGTAGGCTAGAAAGAAACATGAGACCATGATCTAGGTTTTCCTCCTGGATCTCTAATCCCAGGATGTAAGACTGCTAGACTCCTTCAGTGAGGCCACTCACCTCTTCTGTGCTAAGAGCTTGAAGCACACAGGTCATATAGAGGTTGTATCAAGTGAACTTCCCTTCTTTCTGAAAAAGTTCATGGTTCTACCTGCTCTCTTGGACTGACCACAGACGTGATTTCAAAGATAGTTTTGGACCCAAGGTTTATCTCCAGAAGCTTTGGATTCCAGTTTGGTGGATCATTCCTGGTGCTCCCTGACTCTCTCCTGCTTACTCACTCTGTGGTTCAGAACATATATGTTGGACAGCTCTCAGTGAGAGTCTCTAGGCAAGAATGGTCTCATCTGCAGTGGAAAAGGTGTACCTAACTTAACAAGACTTTGATCTGATGTTGGGTGATGCTTAATTCCCCTCTATAAGCTTTCATCACAGCTGTATTGGACTACAGCTCAAGTATGGCAACATATCCTTTACCTCACTTCAGGTTCATTTGACTCCCTCCTGTAGGGTTATTCCATCTTTCCCACTGGTTGTCTGCTTCCTTCATTTGTCTAGTAGGATATCCTATTTTCTGTACCTTAACCTGCTGCTTATGTCACTGCTGGGGCCACTGTTAAAGCCTAGTGTTGCCTGTTTACTGCTATATATATATATATCATTGAAGACGGCCTTCTTACTATCACTTAGGCAAGAATGAATGAGATGCAGATGTTGATGACTGATTTCCTTCATATTTAGTCTTCTACCCTAAACAGATGCATCTAAAGATTTGTTTCTGTCTAAGACTTTCACTGGATTGCGTATCAGACAACAGATCCAACCTGCCAGTGTTCTGTCTCTAGTGCCCTACTTCCCTACAGTCAAAATATCATTTTGCACACTTGACATGCAAAAAGTCTTGTTCGGACAAATTCTTTCAACAGGTCTTCCCAGCTTTTGTCTTCTGAGGCAAGAGATCCAAAGGCACAAACACTTCAGCTCAGAGGGTGGATATCAGACTGTGGCAGAATATGTCACTAAAGTGGTCCTGACTTTGTAGTATCCTAGTAAATGAAGGCCATTAGGAAGAGCAGCTAAGAAGAAAGAACAAGATTGAACAAAGCTCAGAAGGAGTTAAAAACAGGAGGGAGAGAGAGAAGGACAATGAGTAGATAGAACAAAAGGAAAGCAGGGTAAGGGTTGTAAATAGAAATATGTTGCAGGACCTTGTACAGTGCAGGAGGGCTGTTGGTCCTCAGTGCTTCACAAGAAATCTATCAACGTGTAGAACCTCTGGCCTAGAGCATCAGATGGATTTTATCA